GCGTCTATGGCAAGCATCCTCAGAGGTTGTGAGGTCTGTTGGAACTAGGAAAAAGGGTTTATATATCTGAGGAATGGGTTATTGTAGGATTTTTCGGGCTATATGGCCATAGTCTAGAGGCATTCTCTCCTGACATTTCGCCTGCATCTATGGCAAGCATCCTCAGAGGTTGTGAGGTCTGTTGGAACTAGGAAAAGGGTTTATATATCTGGAATGGGTTGTTGTAGGTTTTTTCGGGCTATATGGCCATGTTCTAGAGGCATTCTCTCCTGACATTTCGCCTGCATCTATGGCAAGCATCCTCAGAGGTTGTGAGGTCTGTTGGAAACTAGGAAAATGGTTTATATATCTGTGGAATGACCAGGGTGGGACTTTTCGGGCTATATGGCCATGGTCTAGAGGCATTCTCTCCTGACATTTCGCCTGCGTCTATGGCAAGCATCCTCAGAGGTTGTGAGGTCTGTTGGAACTAGGAAAAAGGGTTTATATATCTGAGGAATGGGTTATTGTAGGATTTTTCGGGCTATATGGCCATAGTCTAGAGGCATTCTCTCCTGACATTTCGCCTGCATCTATGGCAAGCATCCTCAGAGGTTGTGAGGTCTGTTGGAACTAGGAAAAAGGGTTTAATCATTGGGTTGTTGTAGGTTTTTTCGGGCTATATGGCCATGTTCTAGAGGCAATCTCTCCTGACATTTCGCCTGCATCTATGGCAAGCATCCTCAGAGGTAGTGAGGTCTGTTGGAAGTAGGAAAATGGGTTTATATATCTGTGGAATGGCTGGGTGGGGCAAAGAGCTGGGTTGTTGTAGGTGTTTTCGGGCTATATGGCCATGTTCTAGAGGCATTCTCTCCTGACATTTCACCTGCATCTATGGCAAGCATCCTCAGAGGTAGTGAGGTCTGTTGGAACTAGGAAAAAGGGTTTATATATCTGTGGAATGACCGGGGTGGGACAAAGGACTCTTGTCTGTTGGAGCTAGGTGTGAATGTTTCAACTGACCACCTTGATTAGCATTTGATGGCCAGGCAATGCCTGGAGCAAACTTTTGTTGAGAGGTAGAATCATAGAATCATAGAATCAAAGAGTGGGAAGAGACCTCCTGGGCCATCCAGTCCAACCCCATTCTGCCAAGAAGCAGGAATATTGCATTCAAATCACCCCTGACAGATGGCCATCCAGCCTCTGTTTAAAAGCTTCCAAAGAAGGAGCCTCCACCACACTCCGGGGCAGAGAGTTCCACTGCTGAACGGCTCTCACAGTATGGAAGTTCTTCCTCATGTTCAGATGGAATCTCCTTTCTTGTATTTTGAAGCCATTGTTCTGCGTCCTAGTCTTCAGGGCGGCAGAAAACAAGCTTGCTCCTTCCTCCTCCCTGTGACTTCCTCTCACATATTTATACATGGCTATCATATCTCCTCTCAGCCTTCTCTTCTTCAGGCTAAACATGCCCAGCTCCTTAAGCCGCTCCTCATAGGGCTTGTTCTCCAGACCCTTGATCATTTTAGTCTCCCTCCTCTGGACACATTCCAGCTTGTCAATATCTGTCTCCAATTGTGGTGCCCAGAATTGGACACAATATTCCAGGTATGGTGGTCCAGGTGATTAGATGGCCCAGATTATTTCCTCTCTGTTGTTGTGCTGTTCTAATTTTGGAGTTTTTTTAATACTGGTAGCCAGATTTTGTTCATTTTCATGGTTTCCTCCTTTCTGTTGAAATTGTCCACCTACTTGTGTATTTCAATGGCTTCTCTGTGTAGTCTGACATGGTGGTTGTGAGAGTGGTCCAGCGTTTCTGTGTTCTCAAATAATATGCTGTGTCCAGGTTGGTTCATCAGGTGCTCTGCTATGGCTGACTTCTCTGGTTGAAGAGTCTGCAGTGCCTTTCATGTTCCTTGATGCGTGTTTGGGCAATGCTGCTGCGTTTGGTGGTCCCTCTGGAGACTTGTCCACAGCTGCATGGTATCCGGTAGACTCCTGCAGAAGTGAGAGGATCCCTCTTGTCCTTTGCTGAACGAAGCATTGGTTGGATTTTCTTGGTGGGTCTGTAGATAGTTTGTATGTTGTGTTTCCTCATCAGCTTCCCTCTGCGGTCAGTGGTTCCCTTGATGTATGGCAAGAACACTTTTCCCTCTGGGTGGACCTTTGTCTTGACTCTCGTGGCTTCTTCTCGGTTGTCTTGCAGCTCTTCTGATGTCTGAGATGGAGTCTCCCTTGGCCTGGAGAGCCCAGTTGAGGTGGTTCAGTCCATCTTGGAGGAGGTGGGATTCCCAGATTCTTTTTGCACGGTCTGCCAAGGCTTTAATGGCTTCTTTCTTGACTTGGGTGATGGTTGGAGTTTTTATATAGATATCTATCTGTGTGTGTGGGTTTTCTGTAGACGGTGTGACCCAATTGTTGATCTGGTTTGCGGATGACTAGGACATCTAGAAAAGGCAGTCTTCCTTCCTTTTCTTTTTCCATAGTGAACTGGATGTTTGGGTGGATGCTGTTAAGATGTTCCAGGAACCTGTTGAGTTCTTCTTCTCCATGGCTCCAAATGGTGAAAGTGTCATCCACATATCTGAACCATATAGTGGGCTTTTTTGTTGCTGTTTCCAGGGCTTGTTTTTCAATGTGTCTTTTGGTCCAGGGAAATATTGGCTTCACACCTCAAGCAATGAATGACTTTGTTTGTTTCCTTTTTGGTCCTGGAAATAGTTTTGCAACTGGCCTTCCTGTAGGATTTTCCTGCTTCTTGGCAGAATGGGGTTGGACTGGATGGCCCATGAGGTCTCTTCCAACTCTAGGATTCTATGATTCTATGATTCTATAATAATAATATAATAATAATATAATAATAATATAATAAGCTATAATAATATATTATATATTATAAATCATAAGTATAAAGTATAATAATAATAATCTATATAAATTCCTGGGGAAAAATTGAGAGCCAAATTGACAAAGAAAACACTTGCTGTGGCTCACAAATGGAACTCTGAAAAAGGAGAAAGGAGGGCCTGATTCTGGCAGCCCAAGAACAAGCCATTCAAACCAAGGCCATCAAAGTCAGAATTGAAAAGTCGACAACAGATCTCAAATGTAGACTCTGCAAGGAAGAGTCCCCTCTATTCTGTTCTGGTTAGACCACACCTGGAATATTGTGTCCAATTCTGGGCACCACAATTCAAGAGAGATATTGACAAGCTGGAATGTATCCAGAGGAGGGTGACTAAAATGATCAAGGGTCTGGAGAACAAGCCCTATGAGGAGCGCTTAAAGAGCTGGGCATGTTTAGCCTGAAGAAGAGAAGGCTGAGAGGAGATATGATAGCCATGTATAAATATGTGAGAGGAAGCCACAGGGAGGAGGGAGCAAGCTTGTTTTCTGCTTCCCTGGAGACTAGGACGCGGAACAATGGCTTCAAACTACAAGAGAGGAGATTCCATCTGAACATGAGGAAGAACTTTCTGACTGTGAGAGCCGTTCAGCAGTGGAACTCTCTGCTGTGGTGGAGGCTCCTTCTTTGGAAGCTTTTAAACGGGCTGGATGGCCATCTGTCAGGGGTGATTTGAATGCAATATTCCTGCTTCTTGGCAGATGGGGTTGGACTGGATGGCCCATGAGGTCTCTTCCAACTCTTTGATTCTATGATTCTATAAGCAGGCGAAACCATAGAGCCCATTCTCAGCTGCTGCAAGAAGATCGTGGACAGACTACAAGCAGAGGCACAACACCGTTGCTCAGATGATTCATTGGAACTTGTGCCACAAACACCATCTGCCTGCGACAAAGAACTGGTGGGATCACAAGCTGGAAAAATTTACAGAGAATGAACACATCAAGCTACTCTGGGACTTCTGGATTCAGACAGACAGAGTTTTGGAGCACAAGACTCCTGACCTCATGATCGTGTTAAAAAACAAAGTATGGATTGTTGATGTTGCAATCCCAGGTGACAGCAGGATTGAAGAGAAACAACTGGAAAAGCTGACACGATATGAGGATTTAAAGATCGAACTGCAAAGACTCTGGCACAAGCCAGTCAAGGTGGTCCCAGTGGTGATTGGCACACTGGGTGCAGTGCCTAAAGACCTTGGCCTGCACTTAAACACAATCGGCGCTGACAAGATTACCATCTGCCAGCTGCAAAAGGCCACCCTACTGGGATCTGCACGCATTATTCGCCAATACATCACACTTGGGAAGTGTCCGACGTGTGAACCAATACAATAGCCAGCAGATTATCTGCTGCGGATTCATCTTGTGGTGTTTCTAATCTATATAAATAAAAATGTAATGTTCGTTTGTGGGATTAACAGAACTCAAAAACCACTGGACTAATTGACACCAAATTTGGACACAAGACACCTAACAACCCCATGTATGTCCTTCACCTAAAAAAAAATGATTTTGTCATTTGGGAGTTGTAGTTGCTGGGATTTATAGTTCACCTACAATCAAAGAGCATTCCGAACCCCACCAACTATGGAATTGAAACAAACTTGGCACACAGTTCTCCCATGACCAACAGAAAATACTGGAAGGGTTTGGTGAGCAGTGTCCTTTAGTTTTGGAGTTGTAGTTCACCTACATCCAGAGATCACTGTGGACTCAAACAATGATGGATCTGGACCAAACTCTACACAAATACTCAATATGCCCAAATGTGAACACTGGTGGAGTTTGAGGGAAAATAGAATCTTGACATTTGGGAGTTGTAGTTAATGGGATTTATAGTTCACCTACAATCACAGAGCATTCTGAACACCACCAACAATAGAATTGGGCCAAACCTCCCACACAGAACCCCCATGTGGGCCACAGCAATGCGTGGCAGGGGACGGCTAATAATAATAATAATAATAATGTGTAAATAATGTAAATGTAATAATAATAAATAAGGTAAAATAGAGTAAAATCATAAATGTAATAAAATTATAATAATAACAGAGTAAAATAATAAATAACCTTGACTTGAGTATCAGCTGAAGGAGGCTTTTTCAGCCTGAAAAATGGCTGAGAGTGTCATAGTGACCATTGATGATGCCTGCCTTGGTCAACTGGGGCCCTTTGCTGCAAGGGAGGCCTTGGGGAGGGCTAAATTGGGATGCCCTTGGGACCAGTTGAAAAACATCCAGTGGCCAAGAGAGAGAGGCTTCTTCCAAGGAAACTTGAAGCTCATGGATCCACCCGGTTTTGCGGAAAGCGGTGAGAAGGACGGTGAGGCGAAGACATCGGTCTCTCTGAAGTCTTGTTTTAGCCAAGGTGGGCTTGGGCTCAGCGGACCTTCCAAGGACAGCCCCTATTCATCCTCTTCCGTCCCAGTTTTCCAGCCGCATTTGAAATGTCCCGTTTCCTTCTGCTTTTTCCCCTTTGTACTCAGTGTATTTCAAATACAGTTGCAGAAAGAAGGGGGAAGGGATCCAGTCCTTATTGATTTTTCCTGGGATTACTAGGAATCCTTCTGCAAAGGATGCCTCCTAATAGAGTGGCTCGTCCTCTTCAGGTGTCCAGAGAGGATTTATTAGGAACTTTGCTGCCTTTTTATTATTTCCATCCAGGTCTCAAACAACTGCACAAGGCCCAGGAGCTCTGCAATGCCACCTTGGTCGCCGGAGGGAAGAGGTTTCCTTGCAACAGGTGGGTCAAAGTCCACCAGTGTTGTAGTGAAATGGCAGGGAGAAGGTTTCAGCAAAAGAGACAAAGAGGTGTCAGGAGTTCTCAAAAGCATGGATTTATTTCCAGCTGGGACCCTGGAGTGGACTATGTCCAAAAGCATCCAGAGCAATGATATAGGTGCGGACTATGCCTTTTATAGCCTTCAAATGCAAGCAAACAAAGAGCATGCGTCTACATACATTGACCTCATTCACTACGTCACCTTAGCATCATACGAATATCAAATTCTATCTCCCAACATACAAAAGGCATGTCTCTAAAGAGCAAGCATACAGCTTACATTCATCAATCAAGGGGCCTAGCTTTGACCTGTCAGGAGGGAGAGGGTATTGGCTCCATTTGTACCAGTGTCTCTCTCTGGAATGTATAGATAACATGCCCCCCTTTTCAGCCCCCCTCTTGCTGTGCCTGGACAGCAGCTTGCTTGTCCTATTAGCATTCTTTCTATACAGAGAGAACTTGCTTTTTCTATACATTTCAGTGCTTGTAAAGTACATACAATTTATACATAAATAAATATATATTTTCCCAATATTTCCTCATCAGTAGTTCAGCCTGTGATTGTATCAGATGTCAATGGGGATTAGGGTTCTTCTGGGCTTGTGTCTGTTGGCGATGAGGATGAGGGTTTTGCTGGGCCTGTTCCGAGCCCAGGAGAGAAGCCTGAATTGTCTGATGAATGGAGTGTTTTTCCTTCAAATGCCCATGGTCATATTCCTGGGAACGGGCCACAGCAGTCTTTCTCAGAGGATGATTTGTCAGGTGCAGAATTTAATGAGGATGAACTAGATTTTCGTAAATGGAGGCATAGTTCTCAGGCTCAATGAAGGTCAATTCATCTACAAGAGAAGAGAAATAAATCCTTATCTGTTGTAAGGACAAGCGAAATGCTTTCCTTTCGATTCAGGGGGCAGGGAAAGTTTCACTTTAGTCTCATCAGCGTTGATGCAACCAGATAAGGCTTTCTTATCTCTCTTCTGCAGATGAATTGACTTTCAGCGAGCTTGAGAACAATGCCTCCCTTTACTAAAGTTTAGTTCATCCTCATTAAATTTTGCTCCTGACAAATCATCCCCAGAGAAAGATTGCTGTGGTTATAAGAACAAGCGAAATGCTTTCCTTTCATTTCAGGGGACAGGAAAGGCTTTATATTGATACCAGGGAAAGTTTCACTTTAGTCTCAACAATGTTGATACTTCTTGACTGTCTTGTTTCTCCAAGTGGATTTCTAGTTTCATGTTTCAAGTTTTGCCAAGTTCCAGTTCTGTTCATTGGATCTTCATGCTGCCTTGTTCTATGGATTATGTACCTTGGAACTTGTGTTTTTACCTGTTGCCTGGAAGTTTATGGACTGACTTTTATCTTGGAACAACATTGCCTTGAACTATACTGTTTTTACCATTTTTATTGCTTTGCTTATATATGTCCTTCAGTAAACTACTTGCTGATTTTACTACACTGGGGTTTAAAGACAGAGGTGTTTCTGTTCCAGCATACAACAGCCAGGAAACCCATTGTTTTTGTTGCCTGGCAGGAAGACCTTGCAAAACCACAACATAGTGTTGAGTGGTGTCAAACTGCATTAATATTACAGTCAGGTGTGTCCAGAGAAGGCTGAAAGAAAAAGACATGAGAGGCATGTTTCAATATTGCAAAGGGGTTTTTACTGGATGGCCTTTAAGATGCCCCTTCCAACTTTTTAAGATTCTATGATCCAACAGAAGTGTTATAGATCAGCCAAAGGCTGATAGTTTAACTGATGATTTAGAGAGGATTGTGAGCTTTCCTGTGACACAGAGTGATGGGCCCTCTAGTCTGGAAAATTCCGGTCTAGGAAATGATGGTTCTCTCTGTGAGAAAACTGGCTCAGAAAGTGCAGGGCCTCAAGGCCAGTTGGAGGAGCCAGAAGGAGCAACATCCGACAAGGAATTGAGTGAAGAGCTGAGTGATAAGGAGGGTTCCGAGAAGAAACTATGAATTGTTTACAAATCAGAGTCAAAAATAGATCACGTTGGTCTGAGAGATTGCATGGGAAAGTTGTGAAGAAAATACATGGGAGACATAATGCTTTCATGGGTGTCTATTAAACAACAAGTTGGTTTTTTTAGGGCAGTTCAGGCAACGCTGCATTAGAGTGAGAAGCTAAGCCTGAGTTCTCTTATCCCTGATTCAAGTCAAGCCTTGGTTTTAGTATCCTGGAAGTTTTCTATGTTCCTGTTCAAGTTTTACTAGTTATGCCTTCTTGGTTGTGGATTTATGCTGTATCTGTGATTTCTGGCTGTTCCTGGACTTTGTCACCTCTGGAACTTTATGAGACATTTGGATTATTGTTTGGTTATCACCTGTTGCTAAACCTTTTTGGATTGTATATCTTCCTTTCTTATTCCTGCTTTTTAATATGCTTTACAATAAACTGTTTGCTTATGTTCCTGGATACTTCTGTGGTGCGGTGGTCATAGATGTTTCCAGGCCTGGAGTGTAGAAAGAGGCTGGATGGCCATCTTTTGGGAGGGTTTTGATGGTGTCTTCCTGCTTGGCAGAAGGGAGTTGAACGGGGTGGCCCTTGGGGATCCCTTCCAACTCTAGGATTCTATAAACAGAGGTGGAATGGCCATCTTTTGGGAGGGATTTGATGTTGTCTTCCTGCCCGGCAGACAGGGTTGGACTGGATGGTCCTTCCAACTGTATTTTATGAAACACAGTAAGACGTGTTATTCCATGACCTCTGTCCTCCTCACAGGGCACTGCTGGCCTCCGTCAGCCCATACTTCCAGGCGGTGTTCACCAGCGACTTCAAGGAATCCAGGGATGGAGAGGTCCTCCTCCAAGGCCTGGACCCTTCCATCCTCCAAAACCTGCTCACCTACCTCTATTCGGGAGAGATGACCCTCAGTCTCGAAACTGCCGAGGAGCTCTTCACCGCAGCCAGCCGGCTCCAACTCCTGCCCGCCTTGAACCTCATCAGCAGGTAGAGCGAGATGTCGCAGGATAGGTTCATGAAGTGACTTATAGTTTTCCAATCACGACCTCCCTGGAACTGCCACACCTTGGACAAGCAAGTGCCACAGAGGCAAGCAAAACCTAGGAAAGTCCATTCACAGCAACAACATTTTGGTTAGTTAATCAGCTTGTCAGCAGAGTACAACTGCAACGTCTACCTTCTCCACACACTCACAAATTCGGTTTTTCATCCAAAAAATATATCAGGAGGGTTTCATCTTCACCGTTGCACTGTTTACTGCTGTACGATCAGGATACACAGATCCATAATCAGATTTGGTACTTAGAAACGATTCTCTGGGATTCACACACAGAGAGATATTCATGGCGAGGTTCACACAGGAAGAGAAAGACTGAGCATTTCACTCTCTGGGTTGTTGTAGGTTTTTTCGGGCTATATGGCCATGGTCTAGAGGCATTCTCTCCTGACGTTCTGCCTGCATCTATGGCAAGCATCCTCAGAGGTAGTGAGGTGAGTTGGAACTAGGAAAAGAGTTTATATATCTGTGGAATGACCAGGGTGGGACAAAGGACTCTTGTCTGCTGGAGCTAGGTGTAAATGTTTCAACTGACCACCTTGATTAGCATTTGATGGCCTGGCAGTGCCTGGAGCAATCTTTTGTTGAGAGGTGATTAGATGTCCCTGATTGTTTTCCTTCTGTTGTTTTGCTGTTGTAATTTTAGAGTTTTTTTTAATACTGGTGATCAGATTTTGTTCATTTTCATGGTTTCCTCCTTTCTGTTGAAATTGTCCACATGCTTGGTGTTTTAATAGTCCATGAACTCTTACTTACAGATTACTCAACCCTTTAGAACTAAGACATTAAGTCTTTGATCACCAACTGCTAGGCCTACCATCACCAACCACCATCAACTGCAGAACATGATACATGACACTCAGTGAGAAATCCTTGAAACAACAGTGTGAGAAATCCTTGACACAACAGAGCAGGTGTCAAAGGCATGACTTCACGGCTTTGCGGTCCTTAAATTAAACTGTTGTTTATTAGAAGGGTCAGAGCAGGCAACACTGCGATACTGTGTACACCTTGGTCTTGTTCCACATTCAAGTCTATGTTTAAGTTCTTTGGGAAAGTTTTGTGCTCATGTTCATGGATTCATGTTTTGGAAGAAGTTCCTGTGTTCCTGGTTATGGATTTATGCTTATGTTTTGATTCCTGATTTTCCATGTAACTTGTCATTTTTGAACAGAACTCTAATATATGGACTATTGCCTTTTAATAGCCTTTTTCCTGTTGATTTTTGAGACCTTGCTTTTTTGTATTGCCTTTTGCTTTTTTGCCTTATTATATTTGCTTTCTTCAATAAACTGTTTACTTAGTAATAATGGACTCTTGTGTGGTGCAAAGGTGAATTCAGGCCAGAGTGCAGCATCCTCCTGCGTCCGAGAAAGAGATAGCTTCACCCTGGAGCTCCACCTGCCCTCTTTCTCACGATGCCCTCTTCTCTCCATTGAACCCCTGGCAGATATCTCCTAGATCAGGTCTCCGAGGAGAACTGCCTCCGCTTTTATGCACTCGCTCGGGATCACAACAACACCACCTTGTTGCGCGGCACCTTGCGCTACCTGGGCCTCCACTTTGAATTGGTCCCAAAGCACCGGGACTTCCAGCATCTTGATCCCGGCGCCGTGAGTGGCCTCATCTCTTCCGACCAACTCAACACAAGCTCCGAAATCGAGGTCTTCCGAGCCGTTCAGTGTTGGGTGAATGTTGCACCTTCCCAACGGTTAGTGGCACTCCGGACACTTCTCCAACACATACGTTGGCCTTTACTGACCGATGCAGAAATGTCTGAAATCCAAGCCTTCTTGGCCACGCTTGACCACCACTCAGAGCTGGATTGGGAAGACCTTGATGGTGCTGGAAGGTTACAACGTAGTGGAGGCCTCCGGAGAGGGATGTTCCAGGAACGGATTGTGTGCATCAAAGTCCCACGTTTGAGGGACATCCTCTCCGCCAACGAAGACATGGACTGCTACGTGGAGTGTTTGAACCCAGTTACGGGTTCGAGGACAAAGTTGCCCCATTTAGAGTTGGTGGCTCTTCCGGGATGTTCCGTCTTGGAGCATAAGTTGTATATTTCAGGCGGAAAACACCCCGACGCCACGTATTCCAGCGCCCTCCACGAATACGACTCCCTGGCAGACCATTGGGTCCAGCTCCCATCTATGTCGACCCCTCGTTCCGTCCATATATTCCTAACTTGCAAACAAAAACACTTTGCGTTGAGTGGATGGAATGACACCGGGCCCTTAGCCACTGCGGAAAGCTTCGACGTCGTCCACCAAACGTGGGCCTCCATCGCCAGCTTGCCCATTGTGTTACGCTTCTCCGCCTCGGCCGCCTTCAAAGCCAAGCTGTATTTAATCGGCGGGGATGCCGATTCCGACGAAGTGCTTTACCAAGGCATCTTGGTCTACGACATCGCCTTGGACACCTGGACACAAGTGCCACTCGATTTCAGCCTCCACGGCGCCTCCGCTGTGACGATGGAGACCGGCATCTGCGTCATCGGGGGCTTCTTCTCCAAAAAGGTCACCCCACCATACCCAAACCGGCGCTTCAGCCAACTCCTGCCTTGCACCCCGAAATGCTTCTTCATGCACGAAGATGGGGTGATCAGCAAAGAGGTCACCATCCCGCCGCTGCCATTACCTCTGGCCTTTGCGGGCGCCACTTGCTTCCACGGCAGGGTCTACGTCATGGGAGGCGTCTGTACCTCCAGGACCCATGACGCCATTTACCATTGGCAACCCGGAGAGGCGGCTTGGACCCAGTATCCAGAGGCGCTCTCCCGCCAAGGCACTGTCGTGCGAAGGGTGCTGAAATGCGTGACCTTAAAGGTGGTGAGGCCCAACCTGGCGGCTCTTATTCAAGGCGCGCCCGTCAAACGGGTGGCTGTTGGGTTGAAGGCTCCTTCCAAAGGCAGACCAGAAGACAACTGCCCTGGCTTCCCAAGTCAAGCTTCCCCATGAGAGATACTGAAATTCCTCCCCACCCAAAAAGGGAAGGTGTATTTTCATCTGCACTCCTCTTAGCCCTGGATCCATTAAAAGCATATGATGTCCCTCTGTCATGTTCTGCCTCCTTTTTGTGTTTCTGCATTCAACATTTTTGGTACGTCTACACCAGGCATGGGCAAACTTTGGCCTTCCAGATGTTTGGACTTCAACTCCCACCATACCTAACAGCCTCAGGCTCCCACCATTAATGCCTAACGCGTATGTCTCAGTAGCACGCTGCCCCCCCTCAGCCAAATGCACCAGGGTGTAAAGTAGGTCATGGAGGGGGGATCTGTGGGCCAGGTTTGCTCCAGGTCCATCATTTGTGGATGTCGCAGTGGTCTGTGGAAGCTGAATCAGGTGAAGGTACTGCAAATCCCATCTGTGGTGCATCCTCCCCCCACTACCCAACTGCACCAGAATGTAAAGTAGGTCATGGAGGGGGATCTGTGGGCCAGGTGTGGTCCAGGTCCGTCATTTGTGGGTGTCACAGTAGTCTGTGGGAGCTGAATCAGGTGAAGGTACTGCAAATCCCATCTGTGGTCCATCCTCCCTCCCCACCCCCCACCCATCCAACCATACCGGGATGTAAAGTAGGTCATGGAGGGGGGGATCTGTGGGCCAAGTTTGATCCAGGTCTGTCATTTGTGGGTGTTGCATTGGTCTCTGGAAGTGAGTGAAGGTACTTCAAATTGCATCGCCCGGGGTCCATCCTCCATGGGGGGTCTGTGTGCCAAGTTTGGTCCAGGTCTGTCATTTGTGGTTGTCACAGTGGTCTGTGGGAGCTGAATCAGGTGAAGGCACTGCAAATACCATCTGTGGTCCATCCTCCCCCCACTACCTAACCACACCAGGGTGTAAAGTAGGACATGGAGGGGGGCATCTGTGTGCCAAGTTTGGTCCAGGTCCGTCATTTGTGGATGTCGCAGTGGTCTGTGGGAGCTGAATCAGGTGAAGGTACTGCAAATCCCATCTGTGGTCCATCCTCCCTCCCCACCCCCCACCCATTCAACCATACCGGGATGTAAAGTAGGTCATGGAGGGGGGGATCTGTGGGCCAAGTTTGATCCAGGTCTGTCATTTGTGGGTGTTGCATTGGTCTCTGGAAGTGAGTGAAGGTACTTCAAATTGCATCGCCCGGGGTCCATCCTCCATGGGGGGTCTGTGTGCCAAGTTTGGTCCAGGTCTGTTATTTGTGGTTGTCACAGTGGTCTGTGGGAGCTGAATCAGGTGAAGGCACTGCAAATACCATCTGTGGTCCATCCTCCCCCCACTACCTAACCACACCAGGGTGTAAAGTAGGACATGGAGGGGGGCATCTGTGTGCCAAGTTTGGTCCAGGTCCGTCATTTGTGGATGTCGCAGTGGTCTGTGGGAGCTGAATCAGGTGAAGGTACTGCAAATCCCATCTGTGGTCCATCCTCCCCCCAATACCCAACCGCACCAAGGGCGTAAAGTAGGTCATGGAGGGGGGAATCTGTGGACCAAGTTTGTCCAGGTCTGTCATTGGTGGGTGTCGCAGTGGTCTCTGGAAGTGAGTGAAGATACTTCAAATTGCATCACCCGGGGTCCATCCTCCATGGGGGGTCCGTGGGTCAGGTTTGGTCCAGGTCCGTCATTTGTGGATGTTGCAGAGGTCTTTGGGAGCTGTGAAATCAGGTTAAGGTACGCAATCCCTCTGTGCGCTTCCATCCTACTCGCCCTTCCACTACCCCCTATCTTATAACCAGGGATGGTAAAGTATCATGTAGGCGAGTCTCTAGTGGGCCAAGTTTGGTCCAGGTCCGTCATTTGTGGGTGTCGCAGTGGTCTGTGGGAGCTGAATCAGGTGAAGGTACTGCAAATCCCATCTGTGGTCCATCCTCCCCCCCTCAGCCAAATGCACCAGGATGTAAAGTAGGTCATGGAGGGGGAATCCGTGGGCCAAGTTTGGTCCAGGTCCGTCATTTGTGGCTGTCGCAGTGGTCTGTGGGAGCTGAATCAGGTGAAGGTACTGCAAATCCCATCTGTGGTCCATCCTCCCCCCCCCCCTCAGCCAAATGCACCAGGGTGTAAAGTAGGTCATGGAGGGGGGATCTGTGGGCCAGGTTTGCTCCAGGTCCATCATTTGTGGATGTCGCAGTGGTCTGTGGGAGCTGAATCAAGTGAAGGGACTGCAAATCCCATCTGTGGTCCATCCTCCCCCCACTACCTAACCGCACCAGGGTGTAAAGTAGGTCATGGAGGGGGGAATCTGTGGTCCAAGTTTGGTCCAGGTCCATCATTTGTGAATGTCGCAGTGGTCTGTGGGAGCTGAGTCAGGTGAAGGTACTACAAATCCCATCTGTGGTCCATCCTCCCCCCACTACCCAACTGCACCAGAATGTAAAGTAGGTCATGGAGGGGGGAATCTGTGGGCCAAGTTTGGTCCAGGTCTGTCATTTGTGAGGGTTGCAGTGGTCTCTGGAAGTGAGTGAAGGTACTTCAAATCCCATCCTCCACAAACCATAACAGGACATAAAGTGGGTCATGGGGGGGGGGGGTCCTGTGTGCCAAGTTTGGTCCAGATCCATCCTTCGAGGAGATCGTAAGGAAGTCCAAAACACCCGGAGGGCCAAAGTTTTCCCATGCCAGGTGTAGAACTTTCTCCGCTATTAATTTGGCAGTGTACACTGTTGAATTAATGCAGTTTGGCCCCACTTTAATGGCCATGGCTGAATTCTACAGAATCCCGGGAGTTGTAGTTTGGGGAGGCCCCAACCGAAAATAATTTTGTAAAACTAGGGCATCCATTCTTCCATAGCAACGGGCCATGGGGCTTAGAGTGGTGTCAAACTGCATGCATTCTACAGTGTAGATGCCCCCTTTGTTGACATTCCTAGAAAAGTGTTCTATCTATCTGATCTAACTCTCAATGGCTAAATCTTGGAAGGAGGAAGACTGCAAATCCCTTCGGAATAGGAAAGCTTGGAGCCAATCTGTCGCCAGAGCATAAAGCAGACTTGCTAAGAGCGAAGCCAGCCGCCTTTAATCATTCATGGCAATTAAATATTCATCTGACATGTGTGCAAAAGCGCATGAAATAAACATCATAAGCTTCTTGGCGCAGGCTGCAACTCTCAGATCCTCAAGATGTGAATCTTTTCAGGGGTGAAAATTCCCCCGACCGATTCGTAATTGGAAAAGTGAGTGAACTACAACTCCCAAACTCCTAAGGCAATCTTCCCAGAACACTTGCCAGTATTCACAGTTGGCCATGTTGGCTCTGTGTGCCAAGTGTGGTCCAGATCTGTCGTCGGATGGGTTCGGTGCTTTCTGGATAAGGGTGAACTACAACTCCCAAATTCCTAAGGCAATCTTCCCAAAGCACTTGCCAGTATTCACAGTTGGCCATGTTGGCTCTGTGTGCCAAGTGTGGTCCAGATCTGTCGTCGGATGGGTTCGGTGCTTTCTGGATAAAGGTGAACTACAACTCCCAAAATGAAGGTTAATTCTCAAAACCGCTGCAGTATGTTCAGTTGGTCATGGGGCTTCTCTGTTCCAAGTTTAGTCCTGGTCCAGTGTCGGTGGGGTTCACTGTTTCTCTGGATGCAGGTGAACTATAACTCCCATAAATCAAGGTCAGTTTCCCACAAACATCTCCAGTATGTTCTGTTGGTCACGGGGAATCTGTGTGCCAAGTTTGGTCCAGGTCCGTCATTTTTGGGGGTCTGCAAATCCCATCTGTGGTCCATCCTCCCCCCCTTCAACTGCACCAGGACGTAAAGTAGGTCATTGATGGGGGATCTATGGGCCAAGTTTGGTCCAGGTCCGTCATTCATGGGTGTCGCAGTGTTCTCTGGAAGTGAGTGAAGGTACTTCAGATCCCATCACCCGTGGTCTATCCTCCCCAAACCACAACAGGACATAAAGTGGGTCATGAGGGGGTCTGTGTGCCAGGTTTGAGGAGGTCGCAGTGGCCTCTGGAAGTGAATCGAAGTACTGCAGATCCCATCAACCATGATCCATCCTCCCCCAAACTTCATCAGGATGTGGTGGCTCATGGGGGGGGGGGGGTGTCTGTGTGCCAAGTGTAATCCAGGTCTGTCATTTGTGAGTGTCGCAGTGGTCTGTGGGAGCAGAATCGGGTGAAGGTACTGCAAATCCCATCGGTGGTCCATCCTCCCACCCAACTACATCAGGATGTAAAGTGGGTCATGGAGGGGGGATCTGTGGGCCAAGTTTGGTCTAGGTCCGTCATTCGTGGGGGTTGCAGTGTTCTCTGGAAGTGAGTGAAGGTACTTCATATCCCATCACCTGTGG